AGTATCCTTCAAGAGATGAATGGATAAATGGATGTACACAATAGAACACTACTCAGCCATAAAGAAGAATGAAATGATGGCATTTGCCAGTAAATGGATGGAACTGGAGTCTATCATGCTAAGAGAAATAGCCAATCCCCCAAAACCAAAGCCCAAAGTTCTCTCTCATATGCAGATGCTGACTTACAATGGAGAGTAGAGGAGGGGAGATTTACCAGATAGACCTGGGGGAGTGGGGGAGAAGGGAGGGGAGATGGGAATGGGAAAGACTGTAGATAACTCAGACATAACTCTCCTATGTTTATATATGAATACATCAGCAGTGTAACTCCACATCATGTACGATCACAAAAATGGGAAGTTGTGCTCTATGTATGTATGATATGTCAAAATACATTCTACTGTTATGTGTAACTAAAAAGAATAAAAAAATCAACCGTGGTTTGGATACAACAGCACAATTCACAATAATCAAATTATGGGACTAGCCTAGGTGTCTGTCAATCAACAAATGGATAAAGAAAATGTGATTTTATACACACACACACACACACACAAACAATGGAGTTTATTCAGCCATAAAGAAGAATGAAATTATGTAATGGATGGAACTTAAAAACATTATGTAAAGAAAAATAAGTCAAACTAATAAAGTCAAAGGTTGGATGTTTTCTCTCATACATGGAAGCTGCAGAGAAAAAAGGAAAAAAAGAGAGGGGAAAAGTTTCATGAAAATAGAAGGGAGACCAGTAGAGCAGAGGAAAAGGACTTGGTGTAGGGGAGCGGGGAAGGAAGAAATGAGGGAAAGATGACACTGGGAAATGATACTGACCAAATTACATTGTTATATTGTGCACAAATAGTGATATGTAACAACAAATCTCATTGTTATGTATAATTATAAAGCACCAGTAAAAATGCAGAAAAAAAGAAAAATGGCAAATTAAGAAAACCCCTAAATTTCTGTTAAGTCCCCTTCTCCCAAAGATAATCTTTTTTCTTTAGCATGCTTTTGTACTTTGTGTCTTTCAAGGAATTTGTCCATTTCAAAAGGTTGTTAAATATGTTGGAATAATAATGATAAGAGGGAAAAGAATAGCTTCTGGACTAGAGATAATTTTGTCTCACTAATGGGGCAAAGTCCTTCTGAATTATTATATCTGAAGCCCTATGAATTATGAGGTTATTTACCTTGTCCAATGAAATAGGATAGTTAAAGGCGCCATCTGCAGTCGGAGGACTGTTCCCTCTGATCTGTTCTAATAGTTCTTTCCTAACAAATATGTGATGATTACTACTTAGCTGAGGATGTGTTAGGACTTCCTACAAATCTGTGTTCCCTATGTAGTACCTTCTTCTCTGGTACTCCTGACTTAGAAACACTAGCTTCTTAAGATTCTCAACTTCCAGCTCCATCCCTTTAATTCAAAGAGATTGCTAGGCTCTGCTTGGGTTACCTTCCTTTTGCTATGCCCTGGAAATTCTCTCCAACCAGTTGGCTGGGGTAATTGTGTTTGCCCCATTAATTTCTTACCTTTTTTAAAATTGGTTCATTTTACTTAGACATAATAGGACTTTTTGGACATAATTATAAAAGCATGGTATATAATTTGTTCTCATTTAGTTCCCCAGTACTTCACTCCTCCCTACCCGCCCCCTTCCCTTCCCTATGTTCTGTAAACAATTTAGATATTAGGTGTGCTTCAAAAGCTTATATGTAAGACAATGCAAGAAGGTTTAGAGGTGAAATGACTAGGTTACAAAAGCCTTAATCCAATCAGTGTGTTAATCCCTAGGGATTAACTGACTGGTACCTGAGTTAGGTAGGGCGTGGCTGGAGGAAATGGGTCCTGGTGTGTCTTTGTGGTATAAATTTTGTGAGCTGAGCTTAGTTTCTCTCTGCTTTCTGATTGTCATGTCCTGAGCCACTGTCCTCTACATTTTTTCCACCACGATGCCCTGCCTCATCTTGAGCCCCAAGGAATGGAGGTGGTCTTCTATGAACTAAGACCTCTGAAACAGAGTTCCAAAATCAAGATTTCCTCCTCTAATTGTTCTTGCCAGGTAATTTGGGCACACCAGCAAAAAGCTAAGTTATCTATGATCTTTCTGTTATTTACGTATAGATTTTTAAAAAATTAGTGTCTTGTGGAGGTACATGATGTTGCAATTCACTGTGGTATATTCATACACATGTACATAGGAAAGTTAGGTCAGGTTCATTCCACTAAATTTCCCTATTCCATTCCTCCTTCATTCCCTTTAATTTCACTTTGCCTACTTCACTGATCCTTCTTCTATCTTTTTATCTGCCCCTCCCCAATTTTGGATTAGCATCCAAATATGAACAGTTTTTTCTTTAGCATGCTTTTGTACTTTGTGTCTTTCAAGGAATTTATCCATTTTAAAAAGGTTGTTAAATATGTTGGAATAATACTGATAAGAGAGAAAATAATACAGAGAAAATATCCGACCTTTAACTTTATGGGACTGGTTTATTTCAATAGCATGATAGTCTCCAGTTCTGTCCATTTACTGACAAAAGCCATAAAATTGTTTTTCTTTATGGCTGAGTAATACTCCATTATGTATATATACTATCTTGTCTTTATCTTCTCATCTGTTGAAGGGCACCTTGGTTGGCTCCATAGCTTGGCTTATTGTGAATTCTACTGTTACAGACATTGATGTGGCGGCATCACTATAGTATGCTGATATTAAATTTATTGGATATATATCAAGGAGTAGGACAGCTGGATCACATGGTAGTACCAATCCTCATTTATTTTTTATTTCATAATGATCACTGATTATTGCCTGTGAAGACAGTCTTGGTAGATAAGGTGTTATCAGGAAAGTTTAAGTCATCATTACTAGTTTATAACCTTCTGAGAAAGGCAAGGTTTACCATTAGAAAGTAAGAGTCCATGGTGTGTGATTTTAATTAAGTGCTGACATTTTGAAAAGTTAATACTAAACTCAGTAAATCTGAGCTTATTTTGAGGGGGGAGGAAGAGGAAAGATATAACAAGTCATCTCTCTCTATATCTACCTATCTTTACTGAGAAACTTATTTTACATTTCATTGAATTTTAGAACCAAAATGTCTCTCTTTTCCTGGAGAAATGAAGATAATTTATAATTAATATAGAAGTCAAGTAGAAAAACAATGAACGATGTATATAAAGAGATATTATTATCTCTTATAATTAAGTATTAATAATTAAGTATTAAAGAGCAAGTATTAATCTACTTGCTTTTTATAATCAAATATGGTATTATTTTTATTATCCCCATTAATGTTTATCACCTCAACTGACATTTCTACTGTATTAACATTTAAAAAAATCTGAGTCTCACATTCAACTGTCTTGATATTTATTAAGGTGTTGTATTATTTGCCTTTGCATTATATGCAAATACAGCTTTATCTCAAATCACTGGTAGTTTACTTGAGAAAAGCTCAGAGTAAACATTAAGGCATACCACTAGAAATCTATTCATCAACGGACTTTTTGAGACTGGTTCAATAAAATACCAAATACACTTAATTGCCTGTAGCTGACTTTTATTAATCTATAAGCCATATCACGACAGGTCTTCTCAAACATACTAAACATCTATTATTTATTGGTTTGCTATAACAGGTACTACATAAGTATCTGTTGAAATGAACCCAAAGAACAATAATCATATGAAAAGGAAAAAAGTTCTTTCAACATGACTTAGCAACTTGTAATTTCACCACCTTTTCTTCTAGGTGGGGAAAAATAATTGCTTTAATAATTTGTGGTAAGATAGAATCAAATTAACTGGTTTGTAGGACTATTCTTTTTTTAAAAAAAAAATCATGGTAAAATATACAGAAGACAAAATTTATCATTTTAAACTTATCATATTCAATTCAGTGTCATTAAGAACATTTTCAAGTTGATTAACTTAGCAAGGCTCTAATGCAACTCAGTAAGACCTTATCTCTAAATAAAATATAAAAAATAAGGGCTGGAGATGTGGCTCAGTAGTTAAGCCCCTCTGGGTTCAATCCCTGATAAAAAATAAATAAATAAATAAAAATAAAAAAAATTTAGTGTTGGGCAACTGTCTCCACCATCCATTTCCTGAACTTTTTGATCATCTCAAACAGAAGTTTTGTTTTATTAAATAATAATTACCTAATACCCACACCTGCCTTCAAGCCACCATTATTCTACTGTATGTCTTTTGGAAGTTGCATATCCTATATACAGCTCAAAAAGTGAAATTAGTTTTTGGTTTTTTGCTGTGGACTGAACTCAGGGTTGTGAGCATGCTAAGCAGGCACTATAACACTCCGTTACACTCTTAGCCTATAAAGTGGAATCCTTACAGGAAAAGCCAATATTTATCTGAAGTATCTAGCTTATCTTACTTAACATAATGTTTCAAGATTCATTCATGCCATAGCACATTTAGAATTTCACTTCTTTAAAGCTGAACAATATTCCACTGTAAGTATATATGAAATTGTGTTTATTAAAATTTGTTTCCACATTTAGCTATTGTGAATAGCCAAATGACATTCCATTTCATCACCATCAACAATATTAGCAAAATGATACTGTCTATCAATATTCACTCATAATCTATTAAACTAAATTAGACTCAGACCTTGAAAAGGTCAAAAGAAGTGAGAAAGTATTTATTTTGATTGTGGTTTTACTGACAGGTCCTGTATACATTTTCAAAAACTCACAAATATACAATAAAAAGGGTGAATTTTACAATATGTAAATTAAATCTCAAAAATCTAGTCTGTGTTAAAAATGCATATTTCACTAAGAAGTCAATATATACTGAAGGAGACACTGAGTTATAGCAGTCCATACTGAGGCAATTTTGTTATGTAATTCTCAAAGATATTTATCAAAATTTAGGGTTTTATTTTGCATATTTTAAAACACACACACAAATACAGAAATAGGAAATCTAGGTACTCTTTTTTAAAAAAGAGAATAACTCACCGTCTCATTTCCAAAAAGTATATCCACATAAGGCATAACTTTCATCAATGATTCCTTGTAGAACTGGCTAATAAATGGTGCAGACAGATTCAAAGTGAAAATCCTGTTGTTTTCAGAAGCATGGCGAGCTACTTTTAATACTGACTCTGGGGATGCTGTAAGAAAGAAGCCCTAGAAAAAGAAAAGAATAAGGGATATCAGAAATACCATCTCCACAGAGTTACTCTCAGTGAGAATATAAGAAACCTATAAAAATGCAAAAGCCTATATAAGATGCAATTACAAAATGCGAGGTAGAAGATAGTTGCATTTAATTAGAAAAAGTTAATCATGTATGTTTGATGTATGTCACTACTTCAGAGAAGAAACTAGTACTTATTTTATATTAGATTTATAGGCTGAAAACTATAAAAAAAATTCTACAAATCTACAAAAGACAAAAATATTTAAAATGTCTCATTCAAGATAGTGATTATATTTTAAAAAAATATTTAGTTATTGTTTATTTTAGATGGACATGACACCTTTATTTAATTTATTTATTTTTATGTGGTACTGAGGATTGAATCCAGGGCTTCACACATGCTAGGTGAGCTCTCTGCCACTGAGAGAGAGAATTTTTTAATATTTATTTTTTAGTTTTCGGCAGATATAACATCTTTGTTTGTATGTGGTGCTGAGGATCGAACCCGGGCCGCATGCATGCCAGGCCAGCCTGATACCGCTTGAGCCACATCCCCAGCCCCAATTATATTTTTGAATAAGTGAAACAGTGAAGGCAGACTGAATCCTAGCTTCTTGTAAAGAAGTTTGTATTCTTTTAAGTGATTTATTAAAATCATATTATTATCTTAAGAAATATCTACACTGAATTTTTGAGGAATATTCTGAATGAGAATTTTTAAAATTTTGTTATAAAAGCTATACTTAAAAATGCTATTTATGAACATTTCTAATATTAAAAATCTTATTAAATATTTTTATGCTTTATAAATGAAAATATAATCAAAAGCATAAATATATAAAAGAAATCTATGAGGGTATTTACATGAGAATTACAATTTCTGAGAATTACATAACAAAATTTATGGGAATTACATAACAAAATTGCCTCATACATTCTTACATAAACATATATGTAAGAAACTGGTATGGATGGTGCAGAAATGAGTACAAGAAAACACAAAGCACAATAATAAACAATGAACTTGGAAAGGCCAATTGAGTTAAGAACATAAAAGGCCTTGAATGGAATGTAAGTGTATTTGGTAGGCAATGTGGGAATGGAGTGGGGATGGAACATAAATAATGAAGTTTTCCTTGAATGACAGCAATAAAAAGCTTATAGAAAAAATGAAAGGAAATTTAATGTGGATAAGAATCTAGCAACAGTTAATAAAATTCTCCATTTGAATGTGAAAAAGGAAACCATATTGGTACTACCTACAGGACTTGATGATTGTTTAAGATGCAGAAGACAAAGAGTTAAAAGATGACTCAGATTTTGAATGTGGTTCTTCTATTAATAAAAGGAGAAAAATCTAGAACAGGATCTAGTTTTCAAGGTAAAGAGAGAGTTAAATTGTGGTCACACTATTTGAGGTACTAAGAGACCTCCAAATATCTATTTCAAAGTTGGACTCAGGAGAAAGGCCATCAAAGAAGGTGGTTATAAAAGAAGGATTGTATTACCAAGAATATAGAAGAGGACAAAGGGTAGAACAAAAAACCAAGAAGCCAGAGAACAGATGAAATGAAAAAAGGAGAGAACAAAAGGAAGGAAAATGAGAAGTAATGACAGAGAAATCCAACCTGGCAAGTTTAAAGAAATTGCTTAAAAGTGTTCACTACTAAGCTGGTGATACATGTCTGTAATCCCAGCAACTTGGGAGAGGGGAGGGGAGAAAGAGGGATTCCAAATTTAAGGAGGCAGGGGGATTCCAAATTTGAGGCCACCTGGACAATCTACTGAGATCACATCTCAAAATAATAAATGAAAAAGAATGGGTATGCAGCTCATTTGTACAGCACTTCTCTAGCATGCACAAGGTCCTGGGTTCAACTCCCAGAACTCCACTTCCCGAAACAACCAAAAAGTGTTCAATGCCATCAAGAGTAAAGAGAATGAAACAACTGAAACAAAAGACACAGAATGATTAGGAGAAAGCAGTTAGTATGAAGATAAACTAGACAGTTAAAGAAGTTGTGGTGAGAAAATGAGGGTAAGGATTATAAATTATTTTGGGACATTTACCAATGATAACAAAAATCACCTGAAATTCACTAAGTAATTCTTGTGTGCCAAGTACTGCCTTAGAATTTTATATATAACTTGGGTATTATTATTTTTTCCTTATATCAAACCTATGAGGAAGATACTGTTATTAGTCTCATTTTATAAACTACAATAGAGAAAAAAATGTCCCCCAGGACACACAGCTTACATGAGATCAGACTTTTTCTAGTGATTTCTAATATGACTCCTTATAATTTGAATAGATAATAGAAAAAAAAACAGACTTTCTATTCTTGGAGGATGGGGATTGCAAGGGTTGTTTTTAAGGACAGGCAAAGTTTGAGCACTTCTGCTTTTCAAATAAAAGAGCTAGTGGAGAAACAAAAGAATGAAGAAGGGAGTGAGGATAATTAGAACAAAGAACCATAGGGAGTCTGGAAACTAGAAGGGAAGACAAGCTTGCTTTAAATAGGAAATAACCTTAAATATATGAAACTACCTTAAGAAGTTGCAAAAATGCTACTGAAATGTTATCTTATAGCAAAAGGAATAACCACCCACACCACCCAAACTTTGAAAAGAATAACAGCAAAGAAGATATTTTTATTTTGAAAATTTCAAATTAAATACTATGAACATACTAAAAGAATGACTTTTAGTACGGCAGGATCATGTTTATCAGGATCCATCTTTGAAGGAAAGATTTATTGCCCTTATACATTCTGAGTTATTAACTCATCATCACAGATGTTGAACACCTTGAAAAAAGCCTTAAATATAGTATATGATATATAATTATAAGAATAGAATCCTAATATAATAATTAACTTAATTATATACTTATATATAAACTCTACATTAGGACTCAGAAAAAGATACACTAAAATATGGCACCTTGGCAAATAGGAAAACTGAAGATAAAAGAAGATCACTCTGACTTTCCCTTACATTTCTGTGTGAGAGCTGGCCACACAGAAATTCTCTGACCCACCTCATCTTGAAAATAGTTCATAAGATTTCATTCCAGAGGATTCTGTTCTATTCCTGGAGGCCAGGAAGAATCTGAACACACACTTGCTGGTTTCCAGTCCTTTGCCCCTAGTTTATAACCATTAGACATTAGATAATGCAATTTTTAATTTTATTTATTTATTTATTTATTTTTTTAAAGAGAGAGTGAGAGAGAGGAGAGAGAGAGAGAGAGAGAGAATGAATGAGAATTTTTTTTTAATATTTATTTTTTAGTTTTCAGCGGACACAACATCTGTGTTTGTATGTGGTGCTGAGGATCGAACCTGGGTCGCACGCATGACAGGCGAGCGCGCTACCGCTTGAGCCACATCTCCAGCCGAGATAATGCAATTTTTTAAAAAAATATTTTTTAGTTGTAGATGAACACAATATCTTTATTTATTTATTTTTATGTGGTACTGAAGATTAAACCTAGTATCTCACACATGTGAGGCAAGTGCTCTATCACTGAGCCACAACCCCAACCCTACATCATACCCTTTTTAATCCAGTAATATCTCTCCATCATCTATCCATTTCTTTTATCAGACTTAACATAAAATACTGTTTTTCTCTGGGCCTTTATTTCTGAAAGCTTCCATATTACATAAAACTTTGTTATATTTCTTGTGCTTTTCTCTTGTGAATTTTTATGTTATAGGAATGTCAGCCATGATCCTTGCAGTAGGCGAGGAAAAGGCATTACTTTTTCTCCCTTATAACTGTCTCTTATCACGTTAAAATCTTGCTAATGAAATTCTAATAAAAATGCTTTCTCATCATAACAACATAATGTTTTCTCAACACTTAAAAATTCCAGACCATTAATCCTTTACCAATAATCAACTGTTATAAAAGGTAACACTTTTTAGGTGTCATTATTTTTTAAATGTTTCCCCCCCTTTTTTTTTTTAAAGCAATACCATTTCACTTGCAAACTATGAGCATCCAAGCTGCCTCTTTTGCTATTTTTGTCACTTAGAGAATTAAAAGAAACAGTTTATATAGCATCTTGTCTCCATAGTAATATGTATGTACTTGCTTTTTAGTCTTTCATTTAATGAGAAGAGTTTAAATCTTTTCCCCCTTATTTCTCTCCAAACTGTTCCAGCATGAAATAGAAACCTCCCAGAGCTAGCATTCTGCCAGCTGTGGATTAACCACAGACAGCCACAGAATGGTCTACATAAATAGTAACCTGGTCAAATAATTAGGCTTCTCACCAACTTCAGACTGAAAATTTGATCTGTTAAAATACATCTGATTGTAATTTAAGGTACGGAACAGTATGCCTCTGGAGTCTAAATTTGGCCTCATTCCAAATGTGTGTATGTTGTATTTGTGTTTTACTTTAAAATGCAACACAAGAGTATTGTAATATGGCTAGTATAACTTCAATGTTGTTAATTTTATAACCAGCAGACAAAAACCCACTAGTTTTAAAATAAGAGGTAAATTCACAATTTAAATTAATTCTATTTTTAATGTTCTCTTGTTTTTCTTTAAGTAAATATTTAGAATTTAAACAATTTGGGATTTGTGTCCTATTAGATGGCAAAGACTGTTAAAACTGATGCCAAACATAATTTTTCTTGCCAGATTTATGACCTTTGCTAGGCCACATGTTCCTTACTATGGTATCACCCAAAATAAAACTGGTGCCATTACAAAAAAAAAAAATTTTTTTTCTACATGTCAGGTTTGTAACAAAAACAAGCCAGCAGTTTGTCTATAGTTTAGAAAAATACTCTATATAACTAATAAAATATTGTAATTTTTCTAATGAGGGATCTCAATCTATACAACAGTTAATTACTAATCTTTGTCCTTATAAACACCAAAACCAAAATAGACTTTTAACACGTAGAGCTTGCATAACAGTAATTAGAATTAAAAGTGAAGTGAGACATTTTTATTCATTATA